AACATGTTATTCTTGTTATCACAGACTCAAAATCTTTAGATGCATTGGGTAGATGGATTAGATTAGATATTGCAGCTAATGTGCATTTTTTTCTGCAGCTCAGAATGCTTGCAGTTGTGCTATTTTTTCATTTCCATGCACAAACCCATTCCCTCAGACATGTTTAGATCTCTGCATTTTCTTGTAATTGTCAGGTTGAAAAGTCAACAACTCATTTCACAAACAAGATATCTGTTAAAACATTTGAAATTCTCCAAGTGCTACAAAATGTTGACTTTTAAATCAGAATTGCTAATGAAAGTGGAGCGAGCTCCCCATATAAAATACAGAAACTCAAACCAGTGCTCTCTTTTATAAGTGAAAATAAATTCTTAACTGCATCTGTATTCTGCTCACTTTTGGGTTTGAATGGCAAGCTGTTTCTTTCCCTGCTGTGACTGGAAGTAGACCATCAAGTTCATGCCAGCGTGCCGAGATCGATGTGTTTTGAATGGCGAGCAAACAAACTTGTAATGCATGAATGGCTTATTATCAGGTTACGTGAAATTAAGTCCAAGCGTAAAGTTGAAACTGCAGGAAAAAGCCCGGTGGAGGTCCACTGTGTTGTTACGTTTCTCACTCAGCTACAAATACAGCACTTTAATACAACATAACATTAATGTTGTTAATTGCAGTGACGATGGAGAATATTTATCAGATTTTGTTTACTGTTTATTGGGGAACTGAAATGGTTGATAATCTCCGTAGTTCAGAGCCTGAACTACAAGCCTATGCAACACATGCTTTTTCCATGTTTACATTTAAACACTTTACCAAGACTTTGTGCATTTGATGGTGGATATTTGCATATTTATATTAAAATGCATTGCTCATTTTACTTGAACCAGTAAAATAAGCAGCAGACAAACATGTGTACATACGAGATGAAACGTGCAGCAACCGAAGCAGGGACGGGAACTGATAAGAATTTAGCTACGGTATTCCGATTTATTGATATCACTTGTCGATTCCCGTTGGCTCTGCTTTAAGAGTCACCACCATCTCTAAGCAGCAATAAGGACTAGGGATGGGTACCGGTATCCGGTGCCATGATGGCACCGGTTCTGACATAAACGGTAGTAACCAGAC